CTTGCGGCGGGTCTGAAAACTTACGAAATATTATGTAAAATTACGAAAGATTGCGAACCGCAAAATTACGGAATATTACAAATCGTAAAATTATGAAGCTTTGCATATCGTAATATTTCGAAATATTTTAAAAAGTTACGAAATATTACGCTTACGCAAACTTGCGGCGGGTCTGGAAGCTTACGAAATATTATGATGTGTAAACTTGCGCAACTTTTCGCACTATATAATTTCCTGATGTGATATAGTATACATAATATAGTAGGTGACAATCGTGTATAAAGTGAATACTATACAATATAAAAAAATTTTAAGCATTACATTTTGTTAAGATTTACTTAAAAAGTTTAATTTACTTTATTAATCACATTTTTTCTCATTTGCTGTGTACAGTATTTTGGTAATGACTCGTGCGCTTTTAGTAAAGATTGTGACTCTTTAGTTTTATCAAATAACTCAACGGTATCTGGTCTTTTCCAAATCCAATTTAAAGTACCAATATAATTCCCACTATAGTAACGATATAATATAATATTAAATGGAAGTTCTATTCCTTCCAAATATACAGCTTGAAAAACATTATGTGGAATAAGATCGTCAATGCAGATAGGATCATACTCAGCCTTATCTTGCATTAAATTAATAATATCAGTATATTTATTACTCATTGATGAAGTTTTATTAATATCTAATACTTTTATGTGATCAATTCCATTTCGTATAGGTATACTACTGCTATGAATAATGCGCATCCTATTATTTACATTATCTAAATATTCTACATACTTTTTTGATATCGCACATAATTGAATAACTTTATCGATAAATTGTTCCCATTTTTTATCACTTGCCTACGGTTGAATTAATGAATTTTCTAGAACTTCTACATAACTTTTCAAAGTTTTTGCTTGAATTTCTATTTTTTTATGATGTGAATTATTATAGTATTGATTATAAGATGAACTTGCTTTATATTCTGGTAATTCTTTTATAAATTTTGGAAAATGATATGATTGTTGAATAAACTTGCTGCAATATAGATCAATATACCAGATAAGGTTACTCAAACAGGATACAAACTGTACCCCAGAAGTTGTGTGAGCGTTCCCAAACCACCCAAGTTTTTGGATTTTTAAAAGATCAATAACGTGATTATATAAAAGGTTATTTTGGTGGTTAAACCTTGTGCTAGAGGAAGATAAATATTTGTAGCATTACTTATTAAAATATTAAAGGCATTTTTGTGAATTTCTGCTTGAGAATTATTGATATCATCATAATCATCATTCCATATAAATCTAATATGTGTAGCCTTTAAAAAAATTAATATTTCTAAGTTTTCTTGAATTCCTTTTAATATTATATGCCAATCTTTTGAATTATCTTTTTGAAAGTCAACTGATATATTCGCGTTTGGTATATCATTAGTAGAAAAAGCCAACTTTAAAAGATCAGATAAAAGTCCAGGAGGTTCAATACTTATTGCTGAAGATTTGACAATTTGTTTCCCGTTTTGATATACAGAAACTAAAAGGTATAATCTCATGATTTTACACGAAATTTTATACTCAAAAAGGTACGTGTTTATTTAAAGAAATAACAACGAAAACAAAGAACTTGAGCGAAGAAAGAAAAAAAAATCTGTGAACAAAGAACCAGTAATATTACTTTAACAGGTAACACAACATTGCATAAAGGATAAAAAATGTTCTGAATATTGATATGCATTTATTGCATTAGCGATCATGTGAATTTATCAATTTATTGAACTTTTATATTTATTTTATAGTGAAAAAATTTAATATTAATATTTATACTTAAAAACTGAATATTCAGGGGGGAATATATTTACTTTGCATTTTTCTAGTATCTATATAAAATGTAAATTTTTGAGGGGGGGATTTTGTTAAACATAATTGTTAATTGGAATGGCCTAAGTATGAGTTGACTGCAATGTATCCAAGGCTCATGCAAATTGATAGACCACCATAGGTGGTTAGTACTCCTGCCTGTACTATTATATCTCCATAGAGTACTAAAATGCTTTTAACAAAGTCATAGGACTATCTGGCATATCAGATATACTAGAATTGCAGTATGGGACTATTATCCCTTGGTTATCTGAAGTCAAATGACCATTTCTAGGACTCGCTATACCAGTCTACCAATGATCATATCTACTACCTTACCATTCAGTAAACATCATTTCAGCTCTCCCTAAGGGTACGAGATCTTCAATGCAGTTGGTAGCTGTACACGCAGTAATATTCATAGCAATGATCGTTGGCTGAACGATCTGAACTTGTGTCCTATTAATTGGTCAGATCAATAGGAAGTGTAGACGCAGGACCCCGAACAATATATATATAGGTCAGATAAAAAATTCAAAATTTACTAAGGTCAATAAGCAAATATTTTTCATGTCTGCTAAGCAAACTTTTATCTAACCCATAAATTTTTTACACTGCTAAGCAATTTATTTTATGACATATATATATTTATATATAATTTTTTTTATAAAATATGTATATAAAAAAAACTAAAAAAACAAAAATTTTTGAAATAAAGTATGGATAAAGCTATTATTATTTTTTTGTAATATTACAACTTATAAATGTTTCTTATTAATATTTCGTATATCTGTTCTGTGACTTCAGAGCGTAATTTAGGCACTTTAGTCAAAGGAAACATCCAAAACCTTCTTAAGTAAAGTTGTTCAGCAGGTTCGAATCTACTTACATATAAATTTTTATCACGATTGAATAGATATTTATGGATTTATTTATGTTTTTTGTAACGCCACCAATACGCGGAATTTTTATTTTTAAAATTGGATAAATCTAATTGTAACAGCCTGTTACACGTCTTATTTGTAACAACCCCCAATTTTATCCAATTAAAATTTAAGATCAGACGTAATGTAAACAAAAACAAAAGATCAGTCGTGTAACTAAGACAAAAGAATTTTTTAAAAAATTTCAAGAAACTGCTTATAACTTAAAATTTTGTCTATGAAACTGTCTTAAATACATTAAGTAAAAGTTTTCCAAATTAAATTTTGCATATAAAAATTTTATTTGTGAAACACATATTAAATTTATTATTAAAAAAAAATAAAAAAAGGATGTTACAAATAAGATATGTAACAGGCTGTTACAAATACATTTTTTCTTTAAAATTTACTGTAAAATTTGTCAAAAAAAATATTTTTAAAAAATTTTCTAAGTAAAAATGAAATAACTTTTACTGATTATTACAAAAAATTATAGTGTAAAATTATAAAAAAAACAGAAAAACACTTATTTTTCTTGCTCTCATTTTTAATATATATTTTTTAACTGTTACACGGACGTGTATATGATTTATAATTTTAATGTTACGCGGACGCGTATTTGTTTTATCAAAAACACATTACACAATCACGTCTAAAAATAATTCCTGTATTACGTATACAATTAACTTATTCTTTGTATTAAAAATAGTAAATTTTTTTTACATAAACATATTTATAACTTTGTTTACATATTTTATTAAATTTTTTTAATGTGAAAAATGTAAATATATATATATATATTAAAAAAATCTATCCTGCTACACAAATATATATCTGACTATTAATAATTTAATACTCTGCTACGCATAATTATATCTGACTATTTAAAAATTATGGTATCAAATAAGCAATAATAAATCTCACATAGGAAAAATTTTTATATGTTGGTTAAGCAAACTCAAAACCTACCTTTATATATATTGTTCGGGATCCTGTAGACGCTTTAGGCCATTACACTAGGAATACCAATCCCTCTATGTAAGAAAAAAAAAGTTTAAATAAGATTATTAGATTAATATATAGTATCACGTAATGCACATAATACATAATTACAAAATATCGACCAAAAAGTTATTGGTCAATTTTTTTTCATTAATTTTACCGATTTTTGCCATTAGTCAAAAAATGGTACAAATCACATGACCAATCAGCAAAAATCATGCCAAAAGCTCTTAACAGTTGAAAGTTTTAATTTCAACCAATAACAAGTATCCAATAGCAATTGGGTTCTTTTGGATGTATTTGAAGAAATTACATCCACATTCTTTAAAAGTAAAATGAAAGTTGGCACCAATTTTGAAATTTGGCTTAATTTAGTAAGAACAGAACAATTGGCTGATTATAAGAAAGATTCAACCATATGCGAAAAAGAAAAGAAATTTATGAAAGAAGTTAAGCTTAATATTGTTAAAGCATATTTTAGTGGAGTTGATGAAAATTTAAAGGATTTTATTGCTGATGATGACAAAATGTAGTTTTAACTCATTTATTAATTGTTTCTTTTTATTTGTTTCTTTTATTCTTGCGAAAAATAATGGATGTATCATAAAATTTGTATTATAATACTAAAAATACACCAAATAATTAAATAAATAAATAAAAATTTGCTTAATTCACTTTATTACATAAAATTATATATTGTTTATCAAAAAGAAAATTTTACTTTTTGTAAAAAATAATATAATGTATCAGTTTTTTGCAATAAACTTCATATATATAAAACCTGGTACTTGTTCGCTATCAATAATTACATTAATACCCAAGAAGGATATCAGTACCAACATAACTCGAAAAAAAAAAATTCATAATTTCTATAAAAGACAATAGCACATTAGTAAAAAGTAAATATCTGTTTCACAAATTTGTAATAATGAAATAATAAAAAAATTTGGGAGACGTTTAAATTACCCTCCATATAAATAATTTGAATTATGCAATGCATGATTTGTGTGCATTCTCATTTACACGATATTGAATTGTTCAGTGTGTGCATGCCATATTTTTGTTCTTGTCGAATTTGAATGGTAATGGAAGGTGGTTAGTTATTTATTAAAAAACTTTTAAAAATATCAAAAAAAGGAAAGAGAAAGTGTTGAAAAAATTAATGAAATAGATACAAAAAGTGATCAGAAAAGAAAAGCGATAGTAAATTAATTTCAAGTTGCAATGCAGCTGAAAAAAGAAAATTTGAAGATAATATCATGATCATATACACACACATAAATACGGGTTAATTCTACTTTAATATACTAACACGTGATCATATTACTATTGTTACAATTAATTCCTAATTAGAGTTCTGCAACCCAGCACATGCCCATGCCTAAAAAAAAAATTTTTAGGTACAGGTATAGGCATTACAATAGGCATTAATACCACAAATGTATCATTCTTATACGTGTATGACATACTATCTTATACGACCTATATTATGTGATATATTTGTCATATAAAAATATAGCACCTGATCGTATAAAAATAATATATTTGCACCAATGCCTGGCAAAAAATGGCTTGAATACTAGCATTGGCATTGATACTGGCACTAATACTTGGGCACAATATTAAGTAAATAGTACATATATTTTTTACTCAACAACGAAAAAAAATACAATTTTGCAAGAAAAAAATATTGACAACATCAACAACAATTATTAATACATAAATTAAAGAATATAAGTAATTTTTTCCAGAGTAATATTACGCTATTTCTGGCAAATTGTGTCATCGGGCTGGATGTGGGAGGTGCAAGCACCACCCACCTCCGGGTCTACGACCCGTTGCAGTACCTATATGGCCCCTACGGGGCTCAGGAATCCCCATATATCCGCCACAATCTGGGACAACATCTGGAACAAATATATATATCAAATAACTAGAAAACAATAGAAAAGGAAGCAATAACGGATATAATGAGAGGGTTGTCCCGGATGTGGCAGATGTGGCAGATGTTTCAGAAAAATTATGAGAGGACATCCCCCCAGAAAAAGTTTTATTTTTACCCCCCAGATCCGCCACATCCGGAACATATGGAACAAGTCAGGATTCCGTCTAATAATCTGTTGAAAGCAGTGAGATAGCAAACCAGGTAAGTTAGCAGGTAAGCCCCTAGAAGGTCTATAGAGCCAGTAAGACCAACCCCGTCCCGCCCCCATCAGAAAAAATAAGTAATTGAACAATGGGTATACCATAAGTAACCTATAAGGACAGATAACATGTATACCCCGCACGCAGTATCAGTAATCCCTAAACTTGTAGGCCATATCCTGGAACTCATTCCAAGTAGCAATTTTGGGCCACATCTTTTAGAAGTCAGCCCAATCTGGAAAGCCGAAGCTGAACGAGTACTCTGGAAGCGGCATAAAAAAGCTGAGGAGGCATACGACAGGGCAGTAGAAAAGAAGGAAAAAGCAAATGATGCTCTTGACCAATCATTGGATGAGGAGGGTATCCTCTGTGAACTTGAATGGGAGGCGTATCAAAAGGCTTGTAAAGAGTTAACGGACACTAGAAAAGNAAAAATTGTATTGCAATATTGCAGTGCACTTTTTTATAATTTATAATTACTTAAAATCAAATTTACAGCAAATTATACATATATAATTTAAACATATAGATCTCTTATAACCTTATTGGCTAGGACTTTTTAGGACCTGGTCCGCTTCTGGTCCAAAATTTGGACCTAAAGATCTGCAGACCAGGTCCTAGGACCAGGTCTTTAGGTCCAGGACCTAGGACTTTACCATCCCTACCTACGGATACATCAGGAGTAGCGTTCTGCAAATGCCAATGCCAGGCACTGTCTGGTACTTTGCCGGGTACTGATGCTGGTGCCCATCATTTTTTTAATCGGCATCTGATGTGCCTTGCCTGTGCCACGTTAACATTTAGACACGTGCCAAGCTAATATGAATAAGTTAATCACTTAATCACTTTATTTTTTTCTCTTCTAATTTCGTGAATTATCTAATTAAAAAAAAACAAATAAAACTGATTTTTCCTTTATATTTATATTCCACCCTTGCTCATATTTACATTCCTTTGTTATATTTACTTTCTAATGGAAGCTTTGACAACAATATACCCTAACAACATGTCAGAAAATGAAGATAGCATAGCCAATGAAGATAGTATAACACAAACAATCATTAACAATACATACCGTACTAAAGAACATTGGACAGAGGTATTACATGGTAATCAAAATATTTGGCTATATTTACATTGTAATGTCAAACAATATTCAAAGTAATACGAGCAGAACACATTTAAAAAATCATACATTATCATGTTTGAATAACAACATGACAAAGTCTAATTCTATTAAACCAGTCACAAAAGAAGAAGTTCAATTATTGATTTGGTTGTTGGCACTGGGATGCCTTTTAATGTTCTTAATAGTTCGCTATTTCATAGAATGGTTAGCAAACTTCATTGTGTATCAAATTCATACAAAGTTCCTCATCCAACAACAATATCACGTTATCTTTCAGAAAATATTTACGAAACAAGATTTGGATTTATAAAGAATCTTTTAGCAAAAATGCCAGGACGAATTTCATTAACTTGTGATGGGTGGCACTCAACTGCTCATAGGTGTCATTACACTGTTGTTACGGGATCATGAATAAGTGATGATTGGAGAATGGTTAAGACGTAATCCGCCTAAAAACTACAGAAAATTACTATATAAATTCGGAAAAAAAAATTAAAACCAAAAAAAGGCATTATCTTGTGATCTAGTGATTTAATTTTAATGATTCTTTTGCTAATTAGTAGCTAATGGTACCCTCTTCAAAATAAAAAAAAAAGATATTTAAAATTGGACTGATACATCACAAGATAATTGCAACCATAATTTTTTCTGGGCAGCGGAAGATTTATCTGGAACTTCGGAAGATTTACCTGAAAAAAATCATTTTTTGTAATTATATTGTGATATACCAGTCCAATTTTGAATATCTTTTTTTTGTTTTGAGGAGTGCGTGAAAAGCTATAAACTCGAAAAGGATCATCAAAATCCAATCACCGGATCACAAGATAATGCCTTTTTTTGGTTTTAATTTTTTTTCCGAATTTATATAGTAATTTTCTGTAGTTCTTAGACGGATTACGTCTTAATATTATTTTAAATTTCCAAAAATCAGGCCAAACTGCAAAAGATATTACATCAGTAATAATGAATACGTTGAACAATTATGATATTAAGAATAAATTATTTGCACTTACCATGGATAATACCACAACAAATAAAGCAGTTACACAATTGCTCCAAAGAGAGTTGCCTAATGTTAACATAATATTTATAGGATGTATGTGTCATATCTTTAATCTTATTGTAAAAGTAGGATTAATTAAAATAGAACAACTTCAATAAAAAGTGCATAAGGTTGTAAAATATTTAGCTAATTCCTTAGCTAATGGACGACTGGAATTATTGTTGGAATAGATTTCTTGCGACCAATACTTGAAATGATACTCGTTAGAACTCAATACTAGCTATGTTTGAAAGGTATATTTTATTGCATCTAGCAATTAAAGAAATGTGTCTAAAAGAACCATCAATGCCACCTTGTTTAAAAACAGAGGAATTGGCTGAACTTGAATCAATTTGTCAAATTCTCAAACCATTTGAAGATGCCACAGCAGTCCTCTCTAAGGATCAATCAAATCCAATTTCAGATGATTTGACAGTAATATTAGAAATTAAACAGCATATCAGCAAAGCTAGGAGTAATAATTTAATGATAAAAAAATTAAAAAAAAATATTAAGATGTAATAGCAGATCACATTTTAATTGCACATGTTCTTGATCCAAGATATAAGATGAAATATTTGAGGGCAACTATTATTGATGTTGAAGAATATACTGAAAATGAAGCAAATCAATATGTTAATAGTGTTCATGAAAAAATAATTTTATATAGGACAAGATATTCAATATCACTCTCAATCACTTTAACTACAATAGTTAATAATGTTAAAACATTTAGTGAATCATAAAAAGACGTTAAGTTAACACAAATACAATTGACTATGAATTGGAATTATATGAAATGGAACTACTTGAAGAGTTCAAAAATGATAATAATGGAATATTATATTGAAAGTTACTATCAAACTGATTTCCAATTCTTAATAGGATGGCACGTGACTATCTTAATATTCAACCTTTAAGCGTTATTAGTGAAAGAGCATTTTCTAGAGCTGGCTTTATAATTACTAATGACAGAGCAAATCTTAATGAAAAAACAGTTACTTTCACAATACTAATGCATTCATGACTTAAAGAAAATCAAAAAATTTTAGTTCTCTTAACAATGTCGTCGGGCTGGATGTGGAAGGTGCAAGCACCACCCACCTCCGGGTCTACGACCCGTCGCAGTACCTATATGGCCCCTACGGGGCTCAGGAATCCCCATATATCCGCCACAATCTGGGACAACATCTGGAACAAATATATATATCAAATAACTAGAAAACAATAGAAAAGGAAGCAATAACGGATATAATGAGAGGGTTGTCCCGGATGTGGCAGATGTGGCAGATGTTTCAGAAAAATTATGAGAGGACATCCCCCAGAAAAAGTTTTATTTTTACCCCCCAGATCCGCCACATCCAGAACATCTGGAACAAGTCAGGATTCCGTCTAATAATCTGTTGAAAGCAGTGAGAT